TGCCGCCCCCCCAAAAAGCCGATACGGCCCCAGCCAGCGGCTGCGAGGCGGCCAACGCCTCGGCCAGGATGTGTGCAAGACTTGGCTTTGAAGCGGATCCAGAGCAGTGTGAAGGATGTTGATCTCTGGAGCGGCTGCAAGAGTTCAAGCTCTCTTATCGAGCAGGGGAGGAACGGGAGTACCTGCTCCGGCAGAGCTGGCCCCTTGCTGGGAGGCGGCACGGTGCTGCTCTCCTGAAGGCTGGGCTGCACTCTCCCGTTTAACGCGAGGCCCACGCGGAGGTGGTGAGGCAGCACAATGTCTGCAGTCTGAACGCTTGCCATTTCACTGGGATGCCTCGGAGAGCAAGGGAGGGAAGGGACGTCCACAGATTTGGCAGGGCTATCTGGCTATCTCTCCTCTAACCCCTGATCCACAGCTGGGATGTGCTCCAAAAGGCAGCGACAGCACGGAGCAGCTGCCCAAGTCCACACTCATACTGAAATCAGGGTTTTGGGGGACTGGATTTCTCCCCTTGAGATGACTCTCTTCACAAACTTGCTAGTTTTCAAATGGGAGATGCGTTCCCACCACAAAGAGAGAAGACCAGCCTATGGTTCCCTAGGGTCCATGTGCAGCCCAGACCCACGCCGGTACCCAGCACACGTGCAGCTACACAGGGTGTGGAGATCACACAGCTTGAGCCCAGGACCCACCAAGATGTTTGCTGGGGTACAGGGAGGTGTAATTAGTTTCATTAACAGGGAAGATTTAGAGCACTACTCTCTTCTCTCACACCTCTGTAAAGTGCTTCACATCATTAGTGCTTTGTAGAGAACAAAGCCACAAAAAATCCACCTGGGTACGAGATCCTTACATTTAATAATAGTGCCAAGAGGTTGCAGATTGGCATGGCTGATCTCCAACCCCTAAACCCTGCCTTGTGCCCAACACACACAAATCTGCCTCATCTCCTCATCCTCCTCTGACCAGGAAGAAGCTGGAGCTGCAGCACTGGGACGCTGGTGATGCAGAGCTCCCGGTCTGAGTGTTGGCCGTACCACCCAGCTCACCAGGAAGCTGAGCTATGCAAGACCAGATCTGCACAGGATTATGGCACAGGAGGAGATCAAACCTGATTACCTGTTGCCACAGGGGAGAATTGGAGGGGAACTGTTCCGCCTGGGCAGCAAACACAGCACAGCAGGAAGAGATCAGCTGGAGATGGGACTTCATAGGTGGCAACACCATGACTCCGAAGGAACTCCCCTTCTTTCAAGGTGAGCAGTCCCCTTCCTTGCTTCTATGCAAAGCATTCTGGAGGTGTGATGCACACATGGCGCTATTTATTGTTTAAAATAAATATGGCCAAGTGCCAGCAACCAACTTTTCTTCCAAGCACATCCTTCTGTCCAGACTGACAAGACAGCTTGAAGAATAAATACCTGGCCCTGGACACTGCAGAGCAGGCTGCTGAGATCCTGGCTGCCAGAGGGTGAACTCACACAGTGATTTTCCAGCAAAGATCACAGCCCAGTCCCAGTGCAGATCTGCCTCGTCAGTGCAGTCTCACCCACCTCCCATCTCCAAGCACAAGCAGGTAATTTTTGCAGCTGCACCCATCCCCATGCGGGATCCAGCACTGGGGGACAACACACCCTCCCAGTCCAAACTCCCTGCCCCTCTGACCACGCCACTGGTGACAGCGTCTCATCTTCACGCACAACTGAACCACAGGCTGGCTACAAGGCAACAGGACACAGACTCTGAACTGGCACAGACTCTGACACTCAGATTAAAAATCCATTTGGAGGATGGTCTCATTAGGACTTCTTGTCTCTCCTTAACCTTGACCCCCAGGTGCTCAAGCTAATAACGCTTCAGATGCTCTACGGTGGGAAACTCTGAATTGCTCATTAGGCAGCCAAACCACATCAGAGCTATTCCGGGGAGAAAGCACTGGGAATCTTTACAGGAACCTTTGGACTGCGAGTCACAGTATTAGCATTGATTTTAAATGAAATAATGGTCCCCGCTGAGCATTAAAAGCATTCTTTATAGAAAGCCAGCAAGGTAGAAAAGAGCCATTGTACCCGGAGCCCTGGCATGCCTCCAGGCCCCTTTGCTCTCAAGTGAATGGCAGAGACGCTAATAAAGGCAATCTTCACCTCCTCAGCGCTCGACACTGGCCCGGTGTTTGCTGTAGGCTCAATGAGACATGATGTACTGTCTAATGAACATGGGAAATTAGCCATGGCTCTCTGGTCCTGCTTCAAGATGCTATTAAAGACCTTTCAAGGGTTGAAGCAAGCTTCCACCTAAGAGGAGGAAAGCTGCCAGCTGTGTACAGCTGCACACACCAGGCATTTCTGTGCGGATAAACACGCACCGACGCGCGCACCCTCCTACCTTCCTTGTCACCAACAGCGGGGCTCCTGCTCTTCCCCCTGGGACTGCTGCTGGGCTGCTGCTGCTCCTTCTCAGCCGGCTGCTGCTGGGACTGTGACAGCTTGCTGGGGGGCACGTCCTCACGGGCAGACTCGTGGGCTTTCGTGATCTGCTGTTGGTAGAGGGCCAAGGCATGAGGAGGCACCTGAGGCTTCACGCTTCCACTCTGCAATATCCCCTCCGAGAAGCCTTCAGAAATCTGCGAAGCAATAAGAACTGGTGAGACTTGCCATGTGCAGCTGACATCCATAACAGCTGAGGAGACATCAAGGTGCTACGAGAGGTCCCATGCCATTACTGCAAGTCTTACCATCCCAAACAAGGCTCCAAAGCTCACCAGCCACAGGAGATTAAAAAAGTCCATGACAAAGAATATCAGCTCACTGCAGGTGACACTACAGGGGAGCCTCAGACCTCCCTTGTTTTAAACTCTAATCTATAGTTCAGTGCTTGTAGCTTTTGCCAGAAGTTACACTACAGCAGCCACACCTTAAGCTGTAACACGGGAAACTGGAAGAGCATCAGGAATGGGTCCTCCCTGAACACTCAAAACTCAAAATTGAGTTTTGAGATTTTGTGGAAGGATTTTCTCCCTCCACACCCTGCAATGCTGCTCCTCTAGTGCTGACCCTGGAGATACCAGGGTGCTTTTTGTCACAGCCCAAGCCACTGCACCAGGTAGAACCATCAGCCTCAGATAATACACATTCTTTCAGCACACAGCTGCTGGGCAGCCAAAAAGGGGGACCAAGCAGAGCTTCTGCATGAGGAACAGCATAAGTTCTGCCTATGTGGTACCCCTCAAGCACATGAGAAGCACAGGGCTGGGAAGGTGCACACTGGCTTTTTAAAGCAACAGGAGGCAGCAGTCATATGGCAACGAGAAGCTTTTTCTGTCCAGACCTCCCACAACTTTCTGATAAAAGAGCTCAAGGGACACCCGAACGTTGCTGGCAGAGTCGCTCCAGCAGCTGGGAACACGCTGCAGGCACAGAGCCCCTTGCCTGCTGGGGGGCACAGCTCTGCAGACCACGAGCTTGGCCATCTGCAGGGATGAGCACATCCTTGCACCCCTGATGTGTGCCATGCAGGGGACACAGCCCGATGGAAGAGTGTGCACGAGGCATGCAGGACCTGTGCTCCCAGTCCTGGCCCTCACTGGTGGGGTACTCACGATGGGAGGGATGGCAGCAGCACGTTGCTTCAGCTGCTTCAGGTCCAGCGGCTTCTGCGGCGAGGAGTTCAGCCTGGTGTCACCGGTGGTGTTGAGCAGGCTGGGTCGGGGGGACAGCAACCTGGACACAAAACACACACATCAGCTGGGCAATGCCATGGACAAGCTCCACGTCCCATCACTCCCCCATGCCCTGCACCCCTCTGTTTTAAGCTGCTGAGCCGAGAGGACATCCTCACCATCAGAGAGGAGAGTACTGCACTGCTGCTCGCTGCTGGGAATCCAGGCTCTTGAACACATCACACACTTGGGCTTCCAGCCTTGCAAGCTGCTGCCCTGGCCCCAAACCTGTTTAGATGGTAACTATCACTCTGCAGCCCTCAGCATCCACCGTGAAGATGCTTGTCCAAGAGGTTGCTCA